GTAACGGCAATAGGTGGCCCCAGCAAGGAGAAGCTGAGGAGTTCCGGAAAGATGCTTGCTGAGGAGTTCCGGAAAGATCTGTAATAAAGTTTTTTCATTGAAACGAAACGGAGTTCTGTAGTTCTTCTTGGAAACATCAAACATTTCTACAATCACTATTATTTCGTTATGTGCTGTCCGTGGAAACACTTCTTGGTAGCAGATGATAGTTTGCGCAGAATGGTCATGCTGAAGAAACGCGCTGCAACCGCTACTTTCTGCGCGAATGAGAAGACAGATGGGCGGTTCAAAGTTGAGAGCTGCAAACAGTTTTACATTTCAATTATTATTACTAGAAGAGCTGTTATCGTGTATTCTTCATTTGTTTTTGACGAACATCAGTCAATTTCATGATTGGGCGTTTTGTGTCGCTTTTTCTTCTCCCTCTAAATGCTTTTCTTCATGCTGTTAGATCAGTCAATTTTTGGAGGTAACAATGGCCACCCGCAAGATGAACTTTTTTGAAAAAATGGCCAATATGCTTGGCTGCATCTACCGACATCAAGCTGCCCAGTTCCCTCGACGGTGGGCTATTCTAAAGGTAAGGGTGGTTTTAGCACACATCAACATACGCTTAGATTTTCAGTTTACTGTGTAATACTGGACATTCTAGGCTGTTGGTAAGCATGAACTTGCTCCACCAAAAGCAACTGACTGGCCAGTCATCAAGGCAGAGTGGAAAAAAGTGACACAGTTCATCTCGAAGGGACAGTACAAAGAGCTTACTGTCAGGGTGGGTCAATTACTATGTTCACATGTTTCTTCGACATTTACGAAGTCATTCTATATCATTCTATAACCTCAAATACTTTTTTCTCAAGTTTTTTTGCATGTTATGTGCCATTTCTTTGTGATCGTTTTCTTACATGGATTCCAAAGGCTCCGTTCATCAAGTCTGAGTAGGCGATTTGATGGGATATTGCCTAAAACTGCTTGTAAAAATAGAAGTTTGTGGTAAAAGCTGCAGAACGGTGGCAGAGGCAGCTCCCCTCCTCCCATTAACGCGGGTGGTGAGGGTAAAAACTGAACCGAACTGCAAAGTACCTGCAAATGTCGAACTTACCCTCATGATAACAGGAGGTCTTCAACACCCTACCTTGCATTTTAGAGGCTCAGTACCTTCAGACC